TTTCTCTTCCACCCAGTCTTTTCCTTCCAGAGCCTGGCACAACCTATCCCTTTCCTTCTCCTTTCCATTGTGTCCCTTCTTTTCTAATCCTCTTCGTCATGCCTAAGAGATGGAAACTGAGATCCACACATTAAATCTTCATGTGGCCCTGGCTGTATTACCGGACAGGCTTTTACACCTGGGAAAATTCAGGTTATAAATTGTACCCCAAGGCTATGGCTCCATGAGGTCAACAACTGGGTGGCTTGGTGAAATCAAGGGGAAAAGTTAGTCAAGCTCATAATTTTGCATTGCTAAGACTTCATCAAGCAACAGACTGAGGTCCTCATTGAATTTCTGATTTTGTTTGTTTGCTTTGTTTTAAATAGAAACCACCACATATTAGTGATTCCTCCTTCCTTCCTTCCTTCCTTCCTTTCTTTTTTTTCCCTTTTTTTCTTAAATCTGGTGTCTGGGCTTTACTCTACATGAAATCTGAATTTCTGGAGATGGAGCCTGAGTATCGGTAGGTTTTTACAAGGCCCCAAATGAGTTTGCTGTGAAGCCAGGATTGAGAATCACTAATATCTAAACCATTCCCCAAACCTGCAGATTAGCAGTGTGCTTGACCTCCAGATGACCATCATCTTGAATAGTTCTTTTAACTTGTTCAAGGATTTTCTCTGTTCAGTTCTCATTATATCTTCACAGTTCTGTGAGGCAGGTGGCTCAGATACTGTTATTACCATTGGGCAGATGGGAAAGTGAGGTATAAAAATGTTGAATGAGTTGCCCAAGACTAGGCAGCTAGTTATTAGCAAAGACACATTGTAGCCTTGCTGGACACAGTCTTTTGACTGCAGACCCAGGGCTAGTTCTCCCAAACCATGTTGCCACTCTGCTTTCCCAGTCATTGAGCTCCACTACCATTGATAACTAATTCTGATACAGAAATTATCACTAGAAAACCAATGAATATGCAATCAAATTCTACAAGTAAGCTTAACAGTGTTTTTAAAAGATTCAAGTTAGGGTCAGCCTAGCAAGATGTCTTTTTCCAAAGTCCATCATGCCGTTTTGAATGTGCCTACTTCTATGCACATACTTCCTCCATGCCCACCCCCACACGTCACAGACTGGAAAACTTCAGATAGTTCTCCATTAGGATATTATTTTCAGAAAAGCATTTTTAAAAGATTAAACAGAATCGCAAAGGTAAGGGGAACTTCACTGGTCAACTTTCCCCACTTCTCCTGAAAGATGATGAACCTGAAGTCCTTTCTAATTTAATATAAATGAAGTGGTAACACCATGCCAAACACATCACATCCATTATCTTAATTAAATCTTCAGGATAACTCAATAAGATGGGCACTACCACTACCACCATCATCAGCATCCCTATTTAACAACTGAAAAACACTGAAACTTAGAGATGCTAAGGTCCTTGGGGCTAGTAAGTTTAGACCTGGTGAGACCCCAGTAATGTACCACCTGGGTGACAGTAATGCAAATAGTAGAGGATCAACAAATCCTTAACAAAAAAAAAAAGGTCAATGAAGTGACCAGCAAACATTTCTTCCAAGAGGTAGAAGAATGGCATCTGGCTAGGCTGTCACAAATGATGACTTCAGTGGGCATTCCAGTCTGGAATCCACATAGCTACTGAGGAAGAAAAGTGACAGGAAGGGTATAGTGTGAGCCTGTACTGGGAGAAAGGGAACCTCAGGGAGAGAGAGGGAAAGGGGAGGAGTCAGAACATGAAGGGTCTTGCCTGCCTCATGAAGAAATTTAGATTTTATTTGTAGGCCACTGGAGGCTTTTAGAAGCAAGGTCTTAAAAAAAAAAAAAAGTAAATTGAATTTTAAAAATACAAATCTCATGGGAGTATCCAGGTTGAATTACAGGAGCAGAGCTTAGTATGAAGGAGGCCAGCTGGGAAGCTCTTCCTCTTCACTTGTTGGCTCCTTCCCTCCTAACTGGGCCTAGAATTTGCATCTTACTCCCTCCACCACTGGATTCTTCAAGGTACCTCCATTCTGTTTCGTGATTCTCATAGTCCAACATTCTACTTGAATTGCTACATCTAGGTCAGGTGACAGGGACCTACACTTGGGCAGTGAGGATGCAGACAACAGGACAAGTTTGAGAGGCAGTTGCTAGGGCTTAGCCACAGCTCAAAAATGGGGAGGGTTGGTGAGAAAGAAAAGCAAAGCAGAACCACACGCGGTGGCACATGCCTGAAGTCCCACTCTCAGGAAGCTGAGGCAAGAGGGTTGAGAGTTAGAGGCCAGCCCCAGAACCCCAGAAATTTGGCGTCTGAGACCCTGGTTCAAAATACAAGAAAGAAAGAAAAAAAAAAAGCCAGGCGCTGGTGGCGCACACCTGTAATCCCAGCAGCTTGGGAGGCTGAGGCAGGAGGATTGTGAGTTCAAAGCCAGCCTCAGCAAAAAGCAAGGCACTAAGCAACTCAGTGAGACCCTGTCTCTAAACAAAATACAAAAAAATAGGACTGGGATGTGGCTCAGTAGTCTAGTGCCCCTCAGTTCAATCCCCAGGACCACGTTGGAGAGAAAGAAAGAAAAGCAGTACAAAAAACAAACAAGCAAAACCCCAATATTTCAAACTTAGGAGTAAGGAACAGATAATGGGATATGGAAAGGAAGGGATGATTAACAATATCATAAAGAGGTGGATAAAACGGCTTGACTAAGGTCTCAATCCAGCAAGTACTTATTAAGCAACTATTATGTGCTAGACATTAGGGGAACAATGAGTAAGATGGGTTTTGCCCTCAAGTATCACCCAGAGAGAGGAAAAAAGTAGGATAAACAGGTGTGCATATATATATATGCAACAGAATATGTTTAAAGAATTAAAAAAACACCTTTAAAATCTATTGACCTCATGTGCTGAATTACATTACAGCAAAGCAGAGTGTAATAAGGAAGTACTTGCTGTTCTTTCTGCTGGACTTCTCCTGATAATTCAAACAGCTGATCCTTTCTCATCACTCAGGTCTTAGGAAAAATGTCACCTTTCCACACACTAGGGCCCTTCTAGTGGGTCACTCTATCTCAAGACCTGTTTCTTCATTGCCAAACACGTTATCTATACATGCATGCATATAGTGCGCTTCCCCCATGAGAACGGAAGCATCACAGAAGCAGAAATTTGATCTTGTTAGTTGCTACCCGCTACATAGTGAGCCCTCAGGAGAAAACATATATTCATAATATATCGCATACAGTACATGGAGGGGAGGCGAATAAACCTCATCAAGATTAAGACCTCAAAATCAAAATAGGCCGGTTTCCAGTTGCTTACAGCAACATACTGAGAACTTAAGAGACTCTCAAGAGCAAAGCCATTTTGAGGCAGGGGTTGAAACAAAATCCAGGGGTCCCACACGAGATCAGTGTCTCCACTTGACTATCTTGCATAGATTACAGGAGTACCCACCCGGTGTGAGATATTTGACAATGAGGCCAGCCAGCTGCCAGGCTCAGGTTTTATTTCCGTTGTCCTTCTGACGTCAGAAAAAGCACGAGTTTGCTGCACAGTTTCTTCTATCAAGGTGACAAATTACAGCCTCGCTAGGCCCCACATTCTGCCAACCATACATTTAACGTCCCACTCCCCCTTACATTAAAAAATGGAAAAACTCATTGCAGAGATGTCAAACCCCCTTCCAAATGCAAATGAATACAGTTTCCCAGCGGCCGGGTTTTTCCACTCTTACTACGTACATCACCGTAAACTGGTATGGAAAAAGTACGTGATCCCGGCGGCAGTTAGGTTTCCACGGAAGAAACAGGCTCGTAAAAACTCCAGATCTGCGCCGCAGAGCGAGACACAAAGGACTCAATTGTTAGCACCACCTTCGCCGGCCAAAGGCAGCCTGTGAAAGGCACTGGGAACGGCGTGACGCGGTTACCGCGAAATTCCTTTTGCCGCCATATGCACTCGTGCTTTCAGTGACTACAGTTCAGAAGAAACCCAGGGCCTGGAGATTCGGCAACCAAGCGGCGCCCAGGCAGCGCGATCGCCTGCGGGGTCCCAGTGGGTGCTAAGAGCTCCGGCGCACAGAGAAGCGGATTATTTGGGGGGGAGACTAGGGCGGGGCGCACGCAAGATCGAAGGCGCGTTTTCCTCCAGGAGAGAAGCCTGAGAGTTTAACGGCCTTTTGTGGCAACATTTAGGGACCAGAGAAAGGTGATGGGGTGGGGGGAGGAGGTGAGCCTGGAGGGGCGCGCAATCCGCGAGGGGCCTGGCTCAAGCGGTGGCCTTTTGTTAGCCGGCTCCAGTGGATCTGGGTCTCGGAAAAGAACTACCTCTTCTGCCCTCTCTCTCCATTTTGAAAGAACCTCTTCTAGGCGGGAAAAGACAATGAGTCACTGCCAGCATCCTTTGATAGTCCCCCCCCCCCAATCTTCCTACTTGTCCTCATTAGAGACCCGCAAAGCGCGAAGGAGGGGCGACCAACGTGCTCCTGTTTACTCTGCTCCGCGGCTTGGCTCTCTAAATAGTGGCCAGTACCTAGACCCTGCCAGCCGCACGCCGGACCCTTGGGGAAAACACGCGCTTCTCGGGGCCCTACCGACTCAGGAAATACCCTCCCCCCAGGGGATTCATACACTTCTCGGGCACTCAGCCCCCTCACATTGTCTGCTCTCTCCTTTCAGACCTGCGTGGTCGCTGAACCAAATGAAATGTAACCAGACCTGACGCCACACTCTGCCACCATAGAAACAGATCAAAAAAGTAAGCCACAGCCCCTTCAAAGGTGAAATCAGGGACCCTTGCGCTTCCTCGCATTGCCGCACCTCAGGGAAGAGCAGGGGACTAGGACTTTTCCTTTCCGAAAAGCAAAATCTGAAGACATCAGGCGCAGCCGCGCTCTACCTCCTTTCATGCTGGGAGAATTTCTACGTTTCAGCCTCCTCTCGCGGCTAAAACCATCACTCCTCTTCCTACCGCCGCTCCCCCAGCCCTCCCTAGGGTGAAAATAATCACCTTACCTTGGGAAATAAAGGGAAAGGTGGCAAAAGGCGATGTCAAAGTGTCCGCCCTTCCGGATATTCCCAACTGCTGTTTGATGTCCTTTGTGTCAAGGTCTGGCTTCCAGGGCTGGGAAAAAAGGTGGTCCTAAATCAGCGAGGGTTGGGCTGGGAAGCTTGGCGTGGCAGATTTCCGAGGAAGGTGAAGGGCGGAGGTTCCCAGCGACCTTCAGGCGCAATGGCGTGGCTGCCCCAGGCCGCGTTCTTTTGGCTCTCTTCCTTTTGGCTGATTGAATCCGAATCTCCTCCCGCCCCCCAGCCACCGCCACCACCAACCCTCACCCACACTCTTATCGCCAGCCTCTCACTTACATCGACACGCTCTGGCGTTCAGGGTCTCGAGCCGTAGTCATTTCCTACTGGGAGGCGCGTCGTCCTTCTGCATTCAGGGGCTTAAGATGTTTTAACCGGGAAAGTCAGGCCATTCCTCCACCGTCTCCTCCCCTTCTGCGCGCCCGCTTTCAACCAAAGCTGCGTGTCACTAAGTGGTGCTTGTCACATGGTGTCATTGCTGGCGGCCGCGCCTTTCGCCTTCCTCTAGCAGCTCTGACGTTGCAGTGACCGAGGCTGGAGGCTACTGAGCATGGGGGAAGGGATGAGGGAGGATGCGGGGCGCGTGCGTGAGGGGCTTACTGATGAAAGCTAGGAGAGTGGAGGCTCCACGCTGCCGGGACACCTGCCCCGCGCCCTCCTGGGGACCGGCAGCGTGCTCCAAACTCGGCTGCGGTAGTGGTTGGAGAATGGGAACCTTTGGGGTTGGAGGTGGAATGGTCAACTGGGCATCCGCGGAGGAAAGGAAAGCTGGGCGCTTGGGGCGGAGGGCCACATTTTGGGGTACGCCAGAATCAACCAGGGCCTAATAAACGAGAGGAGTTGCATTGTGGGAAGAATGCAGCCTGAGGATGGCCGCAGGAGTGACTGGCGGGAATGCAGCCCAGAAAGCTGCTGGCAGCGCCTGGAGCTATCGGCAGGGATGGAGCCGTGTGTCGGCTCCTTGGGTGGCCGGTAGACTGCCCGGGTTGGCGGGAAGGGGACCGGAGTGGTTGGGGGAGCTGGGAGCGCAGAGCCTTTGGAAATCCTTTGTCCCTAGCCCGCCCCAAGAGGTTCCTTCCCTCTTCCGGATCCTACACCCGCAGACCTCGCCAGCCCTCCCTGATATCTGCGCTGTGCAGCTGTTTTGGGGACTGGGTGTGAAGCGCACCAGAAGATATGAAGGGCTGGGAGCGCGCACCTGCCTAGGCGCGAAGAGACCAGAGTGGAGTATGGAGGAGCCCGAGGACCTCATGCGATTCCGCCTACCCGCCCGGCGCCTCCCAGCGCCCAAATCGGGGATGGGTTGGGGACAGAGGGAGGCAGGCAGGGGCGACCGAGATCGTTCCCCCCTTTTTTCCTGCTTTTTCTTTGTTTCAAGCACAGCCCCTTTTAACTGGCTGGGCACTTCTTGCAGAGGGATGTGTCTCCTTAAAATGGCGACAGGAAATCCCACCTGCGCGTCAGCCAATTAGACTGTCGTTCAAGCGCGAATTTGCAGGGAGGAAATTTGAGCTTTTTATTGACAGAGATGGTTTAGTCTTCGTGTTCCATCAAAACAGGAAAGGGAAGGTGAATCATAATTCAGAAATTAATCTACCTGGAGTCGTTCATGGGGGCAGACTGAGTAGTCACTGTGTGGTAGGGGCTGTAGCTTTTTAATCCCCGGTGGAAAAGTGAGATGACACCCAGATTTTAAGTTTCTCATTATTGATTAAAATTCTCATTCTCTTCGATGGCAGGCGTTGTTCTTGGCTAGTTCGATTGGCTTCCTGAGAACCCTGTTTAGGAGACATGTTCTTGATTATACCTGTGAAAGTAAAAGGGCAGTCAAGGGGAACTGAAGGGGACCGAGGTTCAGCCTCGCTCGGCCCACCCGGGCCCAACTCTTAAGATACTTATCGCTTCCTTCGCCTGATTATCTTTTGTCCTGGTGCTGTTTTTCTAATTTGTAAGAAAAGGAGATAATAGTACACACATCACAAATAATCTGTAGGTCATCAGAAACTTGGTTCTTTCTACCCTTGTTCCTAAGGGAAGTTAATTTAGAATGAAATTAATGATTTTAGGTAGTGTGTACCTTGTCTGGAACAAATAATTGTTATAAATAAGAAACCTAAGTAGGTAAAGTAGATAAACTGTAAGCCGAGTTCAAGCCTGTTGAAATGTTAACCTTTTTAAAGTTTTAACTTAATTATTAGTTCCTACACACCAAAAGACTGCAGTTACCTTGCACTTTTGAATAGGATTCAGTGGTTATGTCCTGAGGCCCTACTGTTCGCCAGCTATTGTACTAAGCACTTTACATGTACATATTTACTCATTCAATAATTTTCACCCCTCAATTAGGTATTATCCTCATTAGATAAATAAGAAATTAGGTTCCAAGAGGTTAAATTTGTCATGTTTACAAAAGATTGTAAATAGTGAAGGGGGAAGCAAGTTCCATTTGGGTCTAATGTGAGTCCATGCCCAGTCTTAGCCACAGTGCTTCAACCATTGGACAATCAGGCAAAAATCTTCACCCAACCTCTGGATTTTAGTTGACAACCTGGAACTGGAGGAAACCGTGGCTGTAATGAAGGATTGTTGCTGTGTGGATGTTGTGGTGGAAGGGGGAAAGAGGCGGTGTTCAGGAAGAGTGCCTGGTAACACCACTGTGAGCCTTTTCTCAGAACTGCTTGTAGGTGAAACTTCCTTTTTGATACCCTTTCAGTAACTCAGCACCTGAACACAATCGCTGTGATCTCAAGTGGGGTCTTCAAAGGATGTCTTGACCATGGCTCCTCTCCTTAATGTGTTCAGAGACAAGCAGCAGGTTAAGCATCTTACACATGATCTCTAGTTTAATCCTCACAACCTTTCTATCAGGACACACTATCCTAATCCCTGATTCAGAGGTTAAAAGATTTATTTCATTTCAAATCCACACATTTTAATTGGCACATGCAAGTCCTGAATCCAGTGTTGACTCCAAAGCCAGTTTTCTATGCTGGCTCTAAAAGGTCCCTCGATTCTGGAGTAACCCTCTTTGGAGGGTGAGGAGGTGGGAAGGGCCCCAACTCACTCAGACTTCTGATAGGAAGTACTACTGTTTTCACAAAGTCCACGGAGTCAGTTTGCCCAGTTTTAGGTTTTTGAGCTCCAAGGGCATTGTTACTAGTATTGAATGTTATTTGTAAACCTTTTCCGATTGAGCAGATTTCCCTAACATCCTTAGGAGACATTAACAAGTTTTATCATAAAAGGAAAATTGGATAAATTCACCTGGGTGGTCTCCAGTAGCACCATCAGCTATTTTTTTTTATATTTATTTTTCAGTTTTCGGTGGACACAGCATCTTTATTTTATTTTTATGTGGTGCTGAGGATCGAACCCAGCGCCCCGTGCATGCCAGGCGAGCGTGTTACCGCTTGAGCCACATCCCCAGCCCTATCAGCTATTTTTTATGGCACTAGGAAAGAGAGACTTTCCAAAGTTGATTTGTGAAGGAAAATTAATTGTACCCCAAGAAAGATTGAATGTGATCTTAAGTCACATCTGCTCTCATCCCAGCTTCACCCTGTTCTCCCTGCAGTTGCACTTGCTCTCTGCCTGAATTACCCAACAGGACAGCTGCAGAAGGGGCCATGCTGGCTGCTTACAGAGAATATCTGCTTTCTTCCATGGGTTTTCAAAGTCTTTCAAATATATCTGATCTGATATTAAGTAGATTGCTTGTATAAGAATTTTGAGTAACAGGATCAAAACTATTTTTAAAAAATATTTTATGTTTTAGTTGTAGTTGGACACAATACCTTTATTTTATTTTTATGTGGTGCTGAGGATCGAACCCAGGCCTTGCACATGCTAGGTGAGCGCTCTAATGCTGAGCCACAGCCCCAGACCGGGATCAAAACTATTTTCTGAATATAGTTTTTCTTTTTAATTTGTAAAGGACTAACACAGGGCAACCTGAATTTTAACAATATATTAAAAAATAAAAAAATAGGGCTGGGTTCATTGGTGCATGCCTTAGTCCCAGGGACTCAAAAGGCAGAGGTGGGAGAGTCTAAAGTTCAAGGCCAGCCTCTGGAACTTAGAGAGGTCCTAAGCAATTTAGCAAAACCCTGTCTCAAAATAAAAAGGGCTGGGGATGTAATTTAGTGGTAAAGCGACTCTGAGTTTAATCCCCAGTACAAAAAAAAAAAAAAGAAAGAAAAAAATAAGGAAGTCAATTGATGAGGTTATTTAGGAATGAGTGTCCTGCAAATTTCCTGTATGTAACAGGAGCAGTGCTGCCACCAGATGTCCAAATCCTACCTCAGTAAAAACAGGTTGTGTATTCTGAGACCACTCTTTTGTTCCTATTTATATGGTCTACCCTAGAACAACAGATGGTCTTTTACAATTCCTTGTTTTTCTTGACTGATGAAATCACATTTTTTTTTTTTTTGTCTGATTAATCCTTGTTACCATCCTCAAGGTTCTTTGGATCACATCCATACATGACAATATTTTGACACTAAAATTGGTGGAATAGCCACAACACAAAATAAATTCACAATGAAAGGAAACAGCGACTGACTATCTTGGCCATCCTTCTACAGATACATGACACTGTGTGGTCTAATCCCCCTTGATGGTAGCACTGTAAGAGGTCAACAACTCTTACTGACTCCAAACTTAATTTAAACTAAAATCCTAAAGCAGAGTGAGCCTCAAAAAAAAAAAAAAATCTGTTATCTCTGGTTTTGGCCTAGGTTAGCTTTCTTAGATCATGTTTGTTTGTCTGTCAGGGGAAACTGAAGGTGACGTTCATTAGTTATTGCAACTGTATGGTGATACAATCTCATTCATTCAAGTTCACTAAAGAACCAAGGCCAAATGAGCAGTCCTGGGAGTTCGGTGTCTAATTTGCCTCATGTTTATGCACCATTATGCAGATCAACTGAGTGCAGCTCCCCTAGCTATTTCAAAATGGGGTAGTGATACCTATCTCATAATCAAATGATTCAAGGTCTGCAAAGTACTTAAGCAGATGTTTGGCACAAAATAAGCACTCAATAAATGGTACCTATCATTATTTGCACACTTTGCAGAGATGAGCAGGGGGCAATGAAATGTCAAAGCACAACTTCACAGACACAAGGTATTCTGTCCTGTTTACTTCTTTCTGAAGAAACTATGAAGCCCATATCTCAGCTCAAACTCTTCCCACTGTGGCAATGGGAAAGAGAAGGTATTAGAGAATAGGTGGGCCTCCATTTCCACTCACAGCCTTAACTTTAAAGTGACAAAGTAAGCTTTGGGTACACATGAAAATACATTAATTAAAAAGTAGAAATGTTTCAAACTAGAGCATAACATCTACACTTACTAATGGTACCAGTGTAAATTGACACAACATTTGTGAGGTAGCAAATTTAGTAACTGTGGGCTCTGGAGACAGA